TGTTGACCAGGATGGTCTTGATCTCTTGACCTCGTGATCCACCCGCCTCGGCCTCCCAAAGTGCTGGGATTACAGACGTGAGCCACCGCGCCCGGCGAAATTGCCGTCTTCTATATCATATTAATACTCTGAGAATTGTGAGTCAAATATTAAGCATGAGCATCTACAAATGTACTCAGACGTATGCATCATTCAAGGTGGTGGAAACGCAACGCAGTGGAAAGAGCACAGTTTGGAAGTCAGATGTCCTTACCTTATGTCTGACTGCTTCCATTAACTTGCCCTGGGCAATCCACTGAATCTCTTCAAATGTGTCTCCCCATTTGTAAAAACAAGGGGATTGGTATGTATGTGTGATTTTTGAGGCCACTTTCAACACTGAAATCCTGTAATATTATGGTTCTTATTGTTACAAAATGTTAATTTCGAATATTTTTAAAAGGTTTTACCAGCATAGGTGTGAATAAGATTTTTTTTTTTTTTAATTAAAGAAAAGATGTTCATTGGGCACAGTGGCTCACACCTGGATTCCCAAAACTTTGGGAGGCCCAGGCAGGAGGATCACTTGAACCTAGGAGCTCAAGACCAGCCTGGGTAACTCCCTCCCTACAAAAAATTTTTTAAGTTAGCAAGGTATGGTGGCATGTGTGTGTGATCCTAACTACTTGGGAGGCTGTGGTAGGAGGATCATTTGAGCTTGAGGCTGCAGTGAACTGTGATCATGCAGCTGCACTCCAGCCTGAGTAACAGAGCAAGACCCTGTCTCAAAAACAAACAAAAAAGAAAAAATTCATTTTTATAGTCATAATTTCATAATTATCTGCTTTATAGGATATTGGTGGGGCATAAGAAAGAAGTATATCAACCAGTATGGATATAAAATAGCTTCTTAATCTTTGTTCTGGTTATTCATCTTTCTTAATCATTGAGATAAGTCATATTTCCATATTAAAATGTATCATTTTGGCTGGGCACGGTGGCTCATGCCTATAATCCCAACACTTTGGGAGGCTGAAGTGGGAGGATCGCTTGAGCCCAGGAGTTTAAGACCAGCCAGGGCAACCCAGCAAAACCCGTCTCTACAAAAATACAAAAATCATGTGGGTGTGGTATGGTGGCAGGCACCTATAGTTCAGGCTACTTGGGAGTCTCAGGTGGGAGGATTGTTTGAGCCCATGAGGTGTACTTTGCAGTGAGCCAAGATCAAGTCACACTCTACAACATTCTGGGCGAAAAAGTGAGGCCTAGTCTCAAAAAAAAAAAGATATCATTTTAAAAGTGTACCATTTAGTTCGAACTTGCCAATGGGCTTCTCTTTTCACAGTTGATTTTAAGAATAAAGAATAAATAATCTAAGTTTTAAGAAAAAGGTAAAGAGTAATATATAAAATAATTAGTAAAATGCTATAAATTTTTTATTATTAATTATAAGGTTGTTACTAAAAATTACAATTTGATAAGTATCTTCTAAACACCAGCCACTTAACTAAAAGCTTTACATTTAACAACTCGATTTACCCTTCCAACCATCTGCCTTTGAACTAGGTTTTATTATTTCCATTTTACAGATGACTTAACTGAATTTAAGGAGCTTACTATTAAGAATTCATAAGTGGCCTAGTCAGAATTTTACACTAGGACTATCTGACTCCAAAGCTCTTGGTCTTAATCTTTGGATTAATGTGAAAGGACTGCATTATCAATGAAAAATCCCAATTAAAGGAACATTGTTAGTATTGATAATGATAGTGAGTCAGGTACACACTTAACACAATTTTAATATTAGAAGGTTAACTACATTAAGAGTTCACTTTTTATTAGTGGAATATTTTTGAAAATACATTTGAATGGTAAATATAATGAACACCATATTTGTTAGATAAGTTTAGGTATAAGATGATATAATAAATGGTGTATGCAACTAGAAATATTTGCTATTACTATTGATGTCTTGAATACTCACCATTATTTCAAAATGATTCTGAAATACTATTACCTGTGCTTATGAAAATTTCCACAGTAAGGATCTTTTCAGATCATTTACTTTCAAATGTTCCCAGAAATCCCATTAATATAATTATTGCCATATTTTAACAGCAAAAGACCCAAAACTATATCCATAGATGAAAATATGGAACCAAGTCCTACAGGAGACTTTTACCCCTCTCCAAATTCACCAGCTGCTGGAAGTCGAACATGGCATGAAAGAGATCAAGGTGGGTAAAAGGAGATGCCTCTAGAGTAAAATGTTGGCTCATTTCTTAAGTTTCTTTTAGTCAAACTTTCATAATTAAACCAATATGGATTATATTTTTTTATAAAATGATTCCTGTAGGATTATTTTTGAGATAATAATGTCAACTGTCAAAATTAATTTATTTAAAATCTTATTTTTATGTGTTTCACTGGACTTTTTTTCAGACAAAATGATATTTTAGAACCCACAATTATGTGTGTGACTGATTATGGTCTGTCTGCATTTGTTGGTTGGAGCACAGCAGAACCGCAAGTTGTGATTCAATTAGATCTGCCTGCTCCTCTCTATGGGGCATTGCAGGGAGCCAAACTTTAAGCAGTTTGCAAGTGCCAGGAACTGGAAGTTCTCCTTTAAAGGGAGCTACAATTCCTTTTGGAAGTAGGTAGAGCACATACAATAAAGAAAAGTATAATGTAAGGTACACTGTATCAGAGTCAAAGTCAATCTACCTAGGCTTTCTAGTTAAAACTGTGACCCAGTTCTAAGGCAGCTTAAATATAACTTTAAGAAATGGGTATTGAGATCCAGAAGGATTGAGACTTAGCTATTCTTAAAGTCTGTTGGATTTATCATAGTTCATCAGATATATCCATGCTTTCCCCATAATCAGAGGGAGATTATTAAGCCTGGAAATAGAAAAATTAGCTAGATGCAATTTTTGTTGGTATGTAAGCATGTGTGCAAATAGGATGTTATGTCAGCAACATAAATGTGTATTTCTAAGTTGTCTTTTAAGTAGAATTCTGCATTTAGAAAGGATCTAGCCTAGGTAATGTGGCAAGACCCCATCTCTACAACAAAAAAAAGAAAAATACAAAACATTAGCCAAGCATATTGGTGTGCGCCTGTCATCCCAGCCACTCAGGAGGCTGAGGTGGGAGAGTCAGTTGGGCCCAGGGAAGCAGAGGCTGCAGTGAGCTGAGATCATACCACTGCACCCTAGCCTGGATAACAGAGTGAGACTGTGTCTCAAAAAAAAAAAAAAAATCTAAAAACGGGAATAATGGTTTTCAGCCCAAGACTTGGTTGTGTGTTGGTGAGAATTGGGATACTCTATGTTGAGTACTCTTGGGAAACACATAACTCTGGAGTGTAACGGTTAAGGCCAAAGTCAGTCCCTTATTCCCTTTTTGCTGCTCAAATTTTTTATACTGAGTGACATGGGGTTTAAAGAATAGTGAAAAATCTTCATGGAGACATTGGGCTTTGAGTCAAGTGTACCTCCTTTAGCACAACTGACTCAAAGCTCATTTCCTAAATCTCACCTAAATCTCCTTGAGATTTTAACTGGTAAAGAAGTGAGAGTCTGGAGAGGGTGGAAGTGGAGAACTCAGACAAAAGCGTAGCCAGGTGTTAGGTGGGGAGGCAAATTTGAGAATGGCTGTGTGTGCCATGTGGCTGGACACTGTGCCTGTGGAGGGAAATAATGGAGATGACAAGGGTCATTTTATACAAGGATTTGAACTCAGCTGGAGAGTTTTGACAGTGAGAACCCCCTCAGAGGGAGTTTTGTCTCTGAGACTCCCCTCATGTGAGACCCCACCAAATCTATTTTTCAGGCAGTAGGCAAACATCGTCTTTATAAAACATAAATAACAACAGATCACTCCCCTGCTTCAGATCCTCTAGTCACTTCCCATTGCTCTAAAGAAGAAATGGGAATTTTCTTATATGACCAACAGGCCTGGCCCGTGACTACCACCATAACCTTGGCAGGTGACATTCTGCTTCCCCATGCTTGCACTTGAGCCCACTGCTTTATTAAAGCTGGGAATGCAGCACCCAGGACCTTCCTATAAGTTATGACCTCTGGAATGCTCTTCTTCTTACTCTTCATCTGGCAAACTTTGTTGTCCTTCAAATCCCAGCTTAAATTGAGAAATTTCATTCTAAATTCTGTCTTCCTAGTTTTCTCTGTCAATACCCCGTACTGTTCCTTCATTATGCTCATAATATGTAATCCCATAGCTACTTATGGGATTAATTGTCTAAATCTGTGTACTCTCTGAGAGCAGGAACCTTATCTGTTTTGACTACTGCTGTAACCAGCACTTAACACACACTTGGTGCATAGTAGGAGTACAATAAATAGTTGTATAAATGAACCATTGATAGGCAGAACACCAGTCTCATTAGTGAAAGCAAGATAAAATAGAGACTTTTGCCAGAGTTGCAGAAGTGAAACGAAAGACAAAACCCTCAACTCTTTATATTTTATTGCTTGTTTTACTGACATTGTCAGCTTATTCTAAACAAAGCCATACTTTTCCTGTCAGAAAATTTCTTCTGGAAAAGATTCTAATGGTAATAACCTTGTGAATGTGTGGGAATGGATGCGTTATTCAGAAGTGTAGGTGTTTTTTATTATAGAGAGTGTCACTTTGTAAGAATTGATTCCTCTTTCAGCCTGTTGAATAAAGCCAATCTCAAATCATATTATAAAACATTTTTGAAAAGTAGAAGGGAAACTGTCATTCTTTTTCTTTGTAATGTCGTTGTATTGTCTTGGTTATTTTCCTTTGTCAAGATGATTAGACTTATTGGAGGAATCTGCAAAGGCATATTATATTAAGAGTAAGGAAGAATATTCCATTCTCAAATGTGCTTAAGAAAATAATAACACTGCCACTTTAATTCTGTAGACCCTGAAGATGTTGTAATGTGTATAATAAGCCATTGTGGGAAGGAGACTCAACTACAATGAAGAAATATGGGCAATACAGTACTATCTTTATAAATTTGCTAAGCCCAATGCAGTCTTCTTAGAAAACTGCTTTTTAATATTGTGCAAAATAAAAATGCCCAATGGTGTTCTTGTCCATCTTCAAATGTTCTGTAGATATACTTGCTTGTGATGGAGGGAGTTGTCTAAAGCACATATTGAGTGCCACTCCAATCATTGTAATGCCTTTAAAATGTCTTGTATTTATATTTTCTCCCCCAAAGCGCTGCACTAATTGATACTCAATAACTATTTATTGGTTGATTAAAATACGCTTGTGTTTAAAATGGGCAGAAATGCTTAAATTTACTATTAACTATTTCCTGGGTATATCTTATTCTGTTAGTGTTAAATTTGCATTAAAATATATTCTTGGTGTAGCCCTTAGCAAAAGTGATTTATTAAATATGAGAATCAAAGATAACAAAATTATGGACAATATGTGGCCATTCTACTTTCCCTTAAAATCTGAAATACCAAGTTAAGTCATTGAGATTTATTCCAAGTAGGCAGAAATAAAGAATATAATATGACCAAATTATTATATGTATTCTATTCTGAAAATAGAGAAAATATTAATATAACACCTAGATTTATGTAATAATATGTTCATGCAATTTTAGTAATTTAATGAAAAAGTATTTTTATTTTAGCATATTGCAATAATAAATCCATTATGTCCTTGGGTTATTTCTTTTCAAAACAACAAGTTATAACTTTCTGATTAAAAGAGAATTGTAATTTATACTTTTATAAATATAGACATGAATATTTTAAAACTAATCATAATTTAATAGTCTTAAACAGTAAGGGGCTATATAATTTGCTTTCTTCTGATGAATAGTGATGAAAATTAAATTTGTCAGCATCTATATTATGTAATATTTATATTTTTACTTTATGTTATTTTATACATACAGAAGGAAATGAAAAGGAAAATAATGCTGAGTCACTACAAAGGGGTATTGAACAACTGTTGTATTGCTTTCCTACATTCTAGAATATTTCTCCTTACTTAGTCTCTTCTGTAAATCCTGCTCTTAAACTTCTGACTGCCCCTCTCTCTGTTAAAAACTTTCTTTTTTGGATACTATTTTTCTTCATTTAAGATTTTAATGATTAATGAATAGAGCCAGATGAGTTTATCAACAGGCAAGTTGAACGTCTCTTTTATTACAGTACTTCATAAAAAATTCCATTGAGATCTTGTCTTTCTTAATTTTTTTCCACCTGAGTCAATTCAGACTGAATTCTTAGTTGATGTACTTTTTTTGAAATTTTTCTTTAGAGCAATCTTTTGTAACTTTTGCTACAAGAGGAAAAATAAGACGTAGGTCATAGTTTTTCCTATAATTCAAGTTACTCTCATGAGACTAAATCTAGTTGTATTCCAATGCTTAGTGTATTAGACCATTTTTATGCTGCTGATAAAGACATACTTGAGACTGGGTAATTTACAAAAGAAAGAAGTTTATTGGACCTACATTTCCACATGGCTGGGGAGGCCTCACAATCATGGTGGAAGGAGGAGCAAGTCACATCTTACATGGATGGCAGCAGGCAAAGAGAGAGCTTGTGTAGGGAACTCCTGTTTTTAAAACCATCAGATCTTGTGAGACTCATTCACTATCATGAAAACACTGCAGGAATGATCTGCCCCCATAATTCAGTCACCTCTTACCAAGTTCTTCCCATGACATATGGGAAGAAGATGAGATTTGGGTGGGGATACAGCCAAACCATATCACTCAGTAATTTAACAGACAAATAAATAGTATGCTTGAACATTTAAAACAATTCTTTATAAGATCACTTTGCCACTGCCATTTTAATAGTCACTAATTTATCTAACTCTGAATGTAAAACTCCTAAAACATTTAATAGACATTAGTGAGAAAAAATATGATATGATCAATATATTTGCAGTATGAAGCTGGGGATTTCTAAGTGGAAATTTTAACAGCTTTTCAGCCAGAGGAGTGTTTAAACAACCTGTAATCTTACATAAAATATAAATTCAAAAAGACTTTATGCAGTAAAATGTTATTAATTTCTACATGTATGGGATTTGAGATAATTTGGTTCAATGAACATTTGTCAAATGTCTATTATATTGGAGGAATTTTTGCAGGCATTGGGCACACAAATATGAATAAATTAAGTTTCCAGAGCTTGACCTGCTGAATGGAAAAATAATTTTTGCTCTTTAGAAAAAGGGAGACTAATATAAATAAGAT